GGGGGTTAATTGTTTATATGGACATTTGGCGACATTTACAATAGCGTGCAGTGTAGTTTTCGTGGGCCCGTTTATTTCATCTATTCCGAACATAATTCGATCCAACCAGTTCTCATAATCAACTCTATTCTACAGGTAGGTACATCTTTAATTTAGTTACTCATAGAATAATAGAAAATATATAATACACTGAGAAAAAAAATTATTTTTGCCAAGAATATTTTCTTCCCAGAAGTAAATCTGACGATCACTGTGTAAATACTCCCATAAAACTTACTAATGCCAAATATATTTTCTTATGGTTAGTAAATATTCTTGGGTAAAGAAAATTTTTTTCTCGGTGTACGTAAGGAATAAATAATAATATTGAAAAGCATATTTACCAGAGTGTTTGCAGTTGGTAATAATGGTGGTTGGTGCGGAGGTACGTGATTATTATTCATTGCAGGTGTGAGCGAACCATAATACTCATTCACTGGGTCAATATCTGCTACGGAGCCAATTTTTCTTGTAGGTGGATTCGTCACTGTATATTGTAAAGATTAATATTGTGAGTAGATTTAAAAAACCGCAATAAAAATGTGGAAATTTAGAGTAACCATTAATCACATATTTTCATACAAAAACATCAAGGGTAAATGTCTAGTTCAGGTCCACCAAATCATTCTGTATGTTTTATATATGATTGGATCAGTTACCGTCACCTAATTAAGGATCCGGTCACCTTTTAATCCGGAAACAATTAGTATAGAAGATATGACATTTAATACACAGCTCTCTGTGTTATCCAGGACCATGGCGAGGACGTGGCGGTGTGTTGGCCCCAAATACACCACATGTTGGCACATTTATAGACAATGTACACACAGAAAGAGGTATTCCATCAAATAGTCCTGAGAACTTCACTAAAACTCTGAATTCACCTTTCCCGACCATCTACCATCGCTGACTGAACACAACGAGTGATTTATTCCGCGCTGCCCTTCTGTAGCAATTCAAAATATTGAATTTAATATCACTCACTCATTACGTCAACAGCAATAGCAGGGGGAAGGGGGGATTAAGGAATTTCAGGGACAACAGAGTTTGCCTCAGGATACTTAGGTGAAAATTTTACTGGTAAGACTAGTTCTCCTAGAGGAGCGAAGCATTCAGGACGAACCGTGTACTGTCTAAAAGTGGCAGGTAAGAGCTTTCGCTATAATTTCTGTTTTCAAACGAGGAATAGCCGTAGCGAGACGGTATTTAGGCAGATTGTCCTGAATGGTGAGTATATGATAATTAACCCGCGATGTAATCGGAAGTAGCCCCACTGTGTCTATGAAGACTCGGTCAAATTGTTCCAGTGGAGTGTTGATAATTATCACGCATTTTTATGAAGCTGACGAGTTTGCCTACGGAACAGTTGTTGAGACAGAGTTTTTGTCTGCGTGTGATGATTATTTTCAATGACTGCGAAGGTTTTTCATTCGTCTACAAGAGTAACCATTACATCGCCGTTGTCAGACCTGTATCACAGTAGTTTTCGAACATCGACCAGATGTACGGATTGAAGAGGTTTGCTGGTGGGATCGTTAATTTCACAATTTATCGCGAGGAACTGTACGAGATGTCAGGGGCGGCACGCACGGCGGCCATCTGTGACCATGACACCTGACTGTAATATGATTTGGGTTACCCTCCCTTCAGCTGCATTATAATAATGACATTTTAATATGTCTTCTCCACTGCATGTAGGTTATAGGCAGATCACTGCTTGGTCAAGGCTGAATCTTTCTTTCTCTCTTCTGAATACGTAGATTCTGTTGGTGGAGAAAGGCGAAACAGTTTCAATGAATTTTTATTGTTGGGCTTGGATGCGATTTCGATAAAGGGACCAGGCTTAACCATTGGTAACTCTCCTTAACTAATTGGTGAGAGAAACTACAGTCCCCTGAGCACGTATGTTAATAATCTGTTTCTGCCCAATGCATCATCGCATGAAGAGAATCGTTCCCTCACTCTAACATTATTTCTTCTGAGCATTCTCTTACAATATTATTCGTTCTCTCTCATACACGACAAATCTGAGCACTGACATTAACCTAGCTAGTTAGCTAACGAACGAGTCAGAAAGGCGATAACTCGTTCCGTGTCTTTTCAAAAATTCAGACCCTCGAACGTCAATACTCAAAAATTTATCACTGTACGACTAGCCATGGAGTTCTGATATAAATCCTATTCTGTCTGAGTCGGAAGGGCTCACCTTTTACATGTTGCTCTGCTGCATCAAGATCAGCCCTAGGATCTTTCCCTACCTCCACTATTGCCTCACCGGGCTAGCGTGTCGAGATGAACATGTTGTCATCCTCGTCGTCTGCAAATTGTGAAGGTGGCGGTGAGTCTGGCTAGTACCAGTAAACATGTTCTTTACATTATTTATTAAGCTGATCTCGGGTTCGGCATAATTCTTACGATCCCAGGCGAGGTCTCAGTCAATGTACGAGATCGTAATCGTGAAGCATAAGTCTTATGGAATGGTGCTATGGTAGCCACCGTGGGCATCATTTCTGGTCCGCATATTACACAAACACAACATTGTTCCCGTCGATTAGTTAGAAACCTCACCATTCGTAGCCTACGGCTTGACGACGGAGAACTCGCTTTTTGGCGGAGTGGTTGTTTCTCGGTCTCCCTTTCCCGCCTGTAATTGATACCTCTTTTATATCAATGGTCCTTCCCGACACGATGGCTGCTCGAGATTTCGAAGGCGAAGATATATTTCTACTGGGCATGGAGTGGCCCTGCTTCGTACAATATAGACGAACTTCAGCGTGGATTCTCGGTATATATACGGGATTCTAGGCAGTTTCATCCCTTTCATGATGAACGACGAAATCGAATTCAGAAATTCTAGTCGGGTAGTCCAATTAACCCCGTAACCATATACCGGCTGATCTTTTATAGTACATTTCGAACGTACTCTCGAATAAATAGGGTTTGAAGTGAGAGCGTGAAATTTAAACGATGAATAATTTTTCGAAATCTGAGTAGCAGAAATGGCTCGTTTGCTGGGTAAACCTTCAATTCATAGAAGGTGTATTCCTGTTCAGCACCCCATTGCCATTTTGAGTTCTTTTCAATAATTCTTGCAAAGGACTACTCCTAGGCGCGAACCATTTCTTACAGCAATGAAAATATTTGCACATAGCCATAAAATTTCATACTTTACTATTGGTCGTCCGTGTAATAAATGCGAGAGTGATACGCACCTTCCTCGGGTCTGGTCGTATACCATCTTCATTCATCCACAAGACACGGAAATCATCGACCGTCGCTGCGCTTTCTATAAGGTTATTCGGAACACTCGGGCAGTCACAGCGATGCTCTATGCGTTCCTTTGCTATCTCATAAGCTATTTAGGCAGAGTAACTTTCGCGGGGTTTTCTCTATCAGAGTCGTAATTTCTGCCCTCGAGCTTGCGTGCGAGAACCAATTAGTAGGGTCGCCGAAGAATTATTGTTCAGGGTCCGGTCATCATCGCCGAACTGCATGGAACTTTGACCACAATTTTCGTAACCCGACCACCCACGTGCTTTATGATCAATCATTGTGATAATTGTTGAAGTTAAATCTCGAGAAGAACGGAAAAGTCCTAACTAGAAGTTTTAAAGTAGTGCCGACATTTTCCATTTTTTTTAATTTCGGGCCCTCCCTTTGATTAATTTTTAATTACTCCAGTCTTCAGCCGATCCACATATTGTTGTGCTCTTTTTTTTATTTCCTGTTTGAAACCCTGTTTGCAGAACGAATTCCTATTGGAGCAATGCCCTTGAGAAACTCTTCTCACGTGCGAGTGTGGACATGGAGAGTTTACTTCTCCTTCTGACACTAATCTATTATTAGTGTCCTAAATTACCCCATCGGTTGGTGGACTCCATGACACGAAGACTTATGGGAAAAAGGAGAGGCTGAAATAATTTTCGGGAGACCTGAAGAGCCCAGATGGTCTTATAGAAGAGAATGGGAAGGAGGATTCAGCAACAGCGTCTCTCTCCAAGCTGATGCTAGTCGAATGGATGTACAAGATTTCTTCGACTAAGGATCCAACGTCTCGAGCTGCTAGAGATCATTGGCTCCGGTCACCCTGGTCCGAGGAGTGACCTGGAGAGCCGAAGTCTTCAACACGCGAGCAGCCCGATTATGATTATTATTGATTATTAGGAAAGCTTGAAGAAGAATATTCGACCTGAAGGTTACCCCGAAATGATCAAAGGTTTCATCAATTTTCTATTTTTTTTATTTTAAAATCTCGTGCATAATTGTATGAAGTTTCTAATAAAGCCAAAGTTTAGTTATATTTGCTTTGGCATTTTCTTCATCTTGATGAGGTTAAATTATGGATATCCATCGTCATATATGAGCAGTTGGTAAAATTCATAGTGATTCTGCCGAAAGTCATGAAAACAGATGATGGTGTGTCAGTGATTGAAATGTACTTCAATGGTACTTCATTTTTCTTAACTGGACCTCGCTGGTATCTTGCATTAAGTCCGTCATTTTGATCCCTCTCTTGATCTTGGAAAGACGGGAGAGGATCATGGTCTGTTTCAATGACAGCCTCAGTGGCATGATGTGTTGAATTACGTTCATTTTTTCTCGCCTTTCATTGGGGTTTGGAAGGATTAAAATGGACGATCATCTGATTCAATGATAACATTTGTGATATCATCACAAACTTTATGTTTGCGAGCTTCAGATTCTTCGACATTTTGTGCTCTGCCAAATAGAAAGGACTCTTCACGGACGGAGAATCAATCCAAAGAGGTGGAACGTTAAGTCCACGCAAAATGACAAACTAAGTAAATTTGAATTTGAGAATGTCATCGACAAAGGACACGAATGCAAACTATTCAGGAATCCAGTCGGGAAAGAACACTGATGATTACGTCATTAAGGTGTTTGGAAATGCAATTATTTCGAGAACTCGCAAACAATCTTATGTAGCTCTCAACAGTAGCTGCCAAGCAGAATATGTGGCAATGAGAAAAAACAACTTCAGAATTGCTTTGGATATACAATTCCTTAAAGTTGATTCTGATAGAACCTTCGTTACATATGGCTTTATGGTGTGATAATAGAGCAGCGAGAAATGGCGCAGAAACTGTCGGAGAAAATCGATTAAGACACATAATTGGTGTTCAAGATCATCATATAAAGCGATGCCTGACATTGAATTTGATAAAAGTAAAGTGGATTTCGCCTTTTCAATCCCTGTGTATCATCTTTACGGGTGGATATCCGGTCGACAGCCCAATTAATGTTGGGCTGCAATGTTCTCACCAGCCAGATTAATTAGACTATTATATCCGCTCAACAAATATTGTTTGCTTTCGCAATTTTTTGTCACTTTGCGCTTTGTTCTGAAGATTTTTCTTTGTTTGTTTAATTTTACCGAATAGGAAAAAGGATTTATGAATCACCTGCACCCTTATCGCTGGTATAAATAACAGTCGTTGCTGCTTGTCGGGCAGAATAGGGACCAGGTCTCGCCTCAGTTAAAGGATCATAATCAGCAATTCGTCCTGGTGATCTTTGTGTAGGACTGGCGATTCGTACTGGTGCTGGATTTGCATTCACATTCGTAGTTGTAACGATTGTTCCATCCGAGTATTCCACGTACTCTGAGAAAGCAGCAGAAAAATAAATATTAATCATTGAGAAGCAGAATATGCCTAATAAGATCCTAATTTACAATTAAAGAAATTGTCTATCCATACTGAATGCGAACATGAATTACCTATTTGTTCACCATTTTCACCCGTCGTTGTTCTCTTCTGCTCCATGATTGCTTTTTTCTGAAGTTCACCATGATATGCAACATTGGAAATGATTTTGCTGTTTTGTTTGATCCTTAATGTTTCCGGATCGTCAGCAACCTGAGTGAATTTACCCTTGGCCTTTTCAAACTCCGCGTGATACTTTACATTACTTTGAATTTTCGTGTTCTCTGCTATACGCTTTAGTTCAGGCGTCTCTGCCATAGTAGTTGCCTTTGCCTTTGGTATATGCCTATAAGTAACAAATGGAAGACATTTTTTAACTCATCATCATCATCATCATCATCATCATCATCATCATCATCATCATCATCATCATATGTACGTTTCGTGCACATAAAATTAAGTGACCAGTGCAGGGGGAAAATATTTGACGTTTTAAAGATATTTTTTGGGCTCATGACGCCGAAATGAATAAAAATATGCCCATATGTTTGTTCATCAGCTCATTTTTGTTGAATTATACGAGCTTCAGCCTCCCGAGCGTGGTCAAGAACGTCGGGCGGGATGTCGTTGTCGTTGCAAAAATTATAATTGCTATCAATCGTGCGTTCGTAGCTCACGGAACTCAAATTTAGTGAAACACTCGACGTCGAAGTATGAGTGGCTTCGTCATTGAACATATCCTGAGATTCGTCGCGTTCTTCATCGCTGTCCGGAATAATTACATACTTTTGTGAATTCATGACTGGACGTCTAAACAAATTAGTGATACACTGATGTATCACGTGAGAACGTGACCGGAACTCGACTCACTTCACGTCATGTTCAGTGTGGAAAAAGACTGTGATTCAGACTGTAAAGTGGGGGCAGTACTATTAAAATGGTTTTAACGTACTGCAAACAGCTGATCGCCGTCGAGATGGAAAAGAGCCATCTTACCTATTGAAAATAGGCTGAAAACAGTCTCAGAATGGGCATCAGTGAGGAAAAAAATAATTCTGTTTATAATAAGAAACCGACCGAGTAAATCACTTCGAAGTGTGATGTTTTGACGTTTTGAAATCTTGCTTAAATAGAATTTTTCCAAACGAAATGGGGGAGATTAAAGGGCCTTGAAGCTAAATAAACGCCCGGCCCCGTGCTGACACGTTTGGTTTAATACTTCGATTGTTTTTTAATTCTGGCTTATTGAGGGCGCCTAAAACCCGGACATGGGTATCCGTTGATAGATTGGGCATAGGGAGGCTGTAAAGGATTTCTGTTACTGAATTTCATGAGAGCCAAAATCATTTTAAGGTCAAGTGACCATTGCACTTGCCGATCTGGAGTAAAAATTCAACCCCAAGCTAGTTCGAACCTGTTGGAAATAACTGTTAATCGTACCCTCAGGCCATCCCTTCTTCATCCTACCAGCCTGGACCAGCCGTTTTCTCCCCAGCTCTAACATCCCCGATCAAGATTAAGAATAACCCTGGAGGACCAACAAATGTTTGGGTTCCAGCCACAGCCCTAAATCCTTCACCGTCAGTTTTGAAATCCTTCTCATCCACTCTTGACAACCAAAAAAGGATCCTGTGCATCTCTTGAGAAAGGTCTTCTGACAACCAAAAACGACGAGGAGAATGACTCCCCATTGTCAAGAGACTATCTTCTGACTTACATGAGAGCAATTCAGCCTCGAACCGTCTCCTAGTTCTGAGTCCTCAATAGAAGATTTTTCTGACGACTTGCAGAGTACACCACTAGAAATTCGCAATACACCATGCCGAATTTAAGTGAAAAAATTTCCACTTCACCAGAAACAGATAAACCGTGCAACACAGAGTTATCCCGGATCGGAATGATAACGACCATGGAGTTGGAAATGGACTCAATGATTGAAGGGAACTGCATAGATCGACACGAGGTCGGGGAGTAAAGAACCTTAGTCGATCGTGAAATTGGCTCAATGAAAACTCGTCAAACTGACCAGAGCAACAGAATCACATTGCTAGATACCTCCAAGCAATCCAACTCCTGCCCTGAGGTGGAAAAAAAAGCTGAAAAAATGGAGCATCTCAGTAGTAGGCCATCATTCTCTGGGGCGGGTGCTGAATCCACTGTCGACTATGTCCTGGGAAAAACTCGAGAAGCAGGAAATACCCTACAAGAAGTACAATATCGTTGTCAGGAGGTTCCAAACACAGCAGCAGAAGATCCGGTATCGGTTAAGAAGTAACTTCTTTCTTGCAGGGTTTCTACCAGGTCCTGGAAGACGATACGATAGACATGTCCGAAGAGATGCTCGTAGCCAAGGTTGATTCTTTCCACTTTAAAAGCACACTATTCAAAGCAAAAAGAAAAAGAAAATACATGAAGGTTGCATTCAGAATGATCTGACAGATCCTCAGAGGCTTGTCGAATTTAAACTCAGAGAAATCGCTAGAGAACAGATACTCAAGAGCAGCACCGTAAAACGTGGTTTTGTAAAGGTTGCGTCTTATGAAGTTTGATATACATACGACCGAGTGGATGACATAGTCAGGAGTTTAGGCAGATTCACCTCCTGCAACACGACCTCGGGAGCCATCCCAGTATTAAATGAGCAATCTCTTCTTTCAAAATAGTGATAAATTTGAGATTGACTTCCTGGAACTCACATGCTTTTAGTAGCATTGGCTGAAGTAACCCCCATATCCCTCTGGACATTCTTGGAGTCACCAAAACCCAGTTAACTAAGCAAAACTCATTCGTTCCTGGTTCCTACAAGAATTGTAAATCCACGTGGTCCGATGTAGTTAAGGTTTGCTGCAACCCAAGCAGAGGTAGTGAGGACCCAGTCCTCCTTAGCAAGAACGCCTACCAACTTGAAGTGATTGACATAACAAGATGAAGAATCTTCGCCAGAGTCTCTTACGTGCCAGTATCAATGATTGTGGGGGTGATTAATTTATATATATTTCGGAAGTCGTAAACGACATTGACTTTCCCTTTGAATTTTTGGGGGACCTTTTGAAGAAATTCAAGAAGTTTTCATGGTCGACGAGAGTACCCCACAACCAACCGAGCTAGATCAGGTGAATCGCCACCGTTTAGACGTCTCCGTCGATGATGGGCTCTGAAATTTATTGAATCAGTACCGAAAGAACATTTCAATAAACCTAGAGGAACTAGGGAAAACAACCGCAGGAGAAATAATCATCGAGCTGACGAGCGACCAAACGCGGGGGTTGTATTCCGCAGAAGTTTGCGTTTGACAGAACCCTACGGAAGTTTAGAGGAAACTATTGGTTTAAGGGAATGCGACGGTTGATCTCAAAGTATGTCAAATCTTGCCTAAACTGCCTGTATTATAAATCTCGACCGACGGGGAACAGGCTACCCAGAAAAAAAACATTGATGCCAGGAGGTTCAAAGCTGAGATCTATGCGGTAGGGGGTGTAGTCATGGTTGTTGTCAGCCCAGCGGCAACGGGTGAGAGCATAAAGCTGGTCGCAAAAGCGAAGAGACCTTCCGCGATAGCAGTAACCGAATGACAGGTATGAGGTACAGGACATGAAGAACCTCAAGAACTCACTTTACCAACGGCAGGTCGTTGCCGTAGACAGTCTCCAGAAATGGATCATGTTTGACGCCATGGAGTGATTGAAGCTGGATTTCTGATATGAGTCAGAAACCAATGGTCAAACACCTTTGGGCGCCATTGGGGTTAGGCCTCTATAATGGGGTAGTCCTCGGACTCGAACAATAGGCAGACACCTCCCGGTGCCATTGAAGCTAGATTCCGACTGGGACAATGCACTTGAACTAGGACGATGGTTAGACACTCTCGAGTGCCATTTGAGCCAACCTCATGAAAATGAATCGAGATTGGGCAAGGAAAATGGTCAGACACTCCTGAGTGCCATCTACGCTAGAAAAAAAAGGGGGGAGAGTGCTTGATCGAAATTGCTGAAGTTCCTTAGGAGCCTGAGATATTCATTTCCGCCTTTGAACTGGGTTTTATGGATGCTGTTCAGTTTGTTCCCTCTGACCCTAATCTTCAAAAATATTATTTCCACTTCACTCTATGCATTATCCGTCATCTCGGGGCTGTGGGGCACATGAAACAATATAACAGCAGCAATGAATAGGCTTTACATATAAAAATGCTGGTGGCTCTAGCAGTCGTTTTTCCTGATTATGTGACTGCTGCGTATGAAGGTTTGGTGTCTTCTCAATTTTATATCAAACATGAAAATTGGTTTGTGGCTCTCCTCAAATATTTCGAAGATACGTGGATTGATGTGGTTCGTCGCGAAACTCTCAGCGAAATTGGTGATTGGATTCGGGAAAAGGTATTATGCTGTCGTCAATCATAACCTGAGGATTAACCATAGAGGGCTCGCATAATAGTTTTCACTCTACAAGTCCAGCAGGCATCGATGGAAGTAACGGTAAATGTCTAGAAAATGGCCACCAAATAATATAAACCCGAAATTTCAACGCGAAATTAAATCACCCGTAATCAGTTGTGTTTACACAGAGGATTACGGATTAACGCGAGTTATTAGAGGGATTTAAAGACGACAGAAAGTTTGGTGATGAAAAACGCTCAGTACGAGATCGGCACCCGTAGTGAACATGAGACTCGCTGAAATCATTAGTATGGGCAATGACCCTATGGTGTTCGTTAAATTCTTGCGTGACAATAAAGTGTTGAAAAGTGAGATGAAGTGTCCTAAATGTGGTGAACTGATGACGTCGTATGATCAGAAGATGATGTTCCGGTGCACGAAGAGGAGACTTAATGAAGACCCCAACAAGAAAATGAAGAGAAGCAAATGCGACACCAAGAAAAGCTACCTTCATGGTTCCTGGTTTTCTGAAATACACATCCCCTTGGCTACAGCCGTGCGGTTTATCGGTATGTACGTCCTATTGAATCCCCCAAGACAAGAACTATTAGAGTTTGAACTTGGGATATCACGACAAACCGTGGTGGACTGGTCGAATTTCACTAGGGAAATAATGATAGACTGGTGCGAGGACCACGCTACCAAGTTGGCGGGACCCAACAAGGTCGTGGAAATCGACGAAACAAAAATCGGCCATAGGAAGTACAACCGAGGACGCATTGTAGAGGGGCAATGGGTGTTTGGGGCCTATGAGAGAGGAAATAAAACCCTCCTCATTACCACCGTCAAGGACCGGAAAGCAGAAACCCTTGTTGAGATCATCAAAGAGTGGATTCTGCCAGGAACAACAATCATCTCTGACCAGTGGCGTTCATACAGCAGCCTAGAACATGAGGGATTTCAACATCTGACT